GCTTCCGCGCGTCCTATCCTTTCCTCCTGCCTTCCCTCTGCCCTTGCCTCCTGCCTTGCCTCCTTCCTTGCCTCCTGCCTTGGCCTCCTAACCTTCCTCACTGGCCTTCCCTCCCTGCCTTCCTCCTTCCTTTCCTCCTGCCTTCCCATCCTCTTGCCTCCTACCTTCCTCGTGCCTTCCCCCCAATGCCTTCCTCCTTCCTTTCTCCTGCTTCGCCTCCTGCCTTGCCTCCTGCCCTTGCTCTTCCTTGCTCCTGCCTTGCCTCCTGCTTGCTCCTTGCCTTCCCTCCCTGCCTTCCTTCCTGGGCCTTCCCTCCGCCGTCCCTCCTGCCTTCCTCCTACCTTCCATTCCTGACTTGCCTCCTGTCTTGCCCCCTGTCTTCGCCTCCTGCTTCCCTCCTGATCGCTTCCTCCCACCTCTTCCCTCCTGCCTTCACCTTCTGCTCCTTCCTCCTGCCTTCCCTCCTGCCATTGCCTCCTGCGCTTCCCTCCTGCACCGATGAGCCTCCTACCTTCCCCTCCTGCCTTCGGACCTCCTTTTGCCTTCCTCTGCCTTTCCTCCTGCCTTCGCCTCACTGCCTTCTCCGCTCCTGCCTTCCCTCCTGCCTTGCCTCCTTCCTTGCCTCCTGCCTTGCCTCCTGCCTTGCCTCCTGCCCTCTCCCTCTCACCCGCCCCGCGGTAGCGGGCGGACGAACCACCGTGTGCCGCTCACTAATTGCGTATTGTACTGCGCGCCTAGCACTGGATGTTGAATCACAGACGTTGGAGATTTGCGGACCTCCCTCCCAGTTCATGTCGCGCATAATCGAAGCGTATATATATATAGTATATTATATACATATAATATATAATATATATATATATATATATATAATATATTATATGCCAGCTCATATCGTGACCTGACTGCATAGAGCAGTAGAAACAAGCACGGGTCAGTTGCTCGATTATAGGCTGAGAAACAATGGAGGCAAAGCCTGGCAGTCCCGCCTAGACTTCGATTCTGCTTGAGGGGCTTTCCTCCGCTTTTTCTTCCTCCGTACCTAATTAGTTTCCCTCTCCTCCCTGCCCCTCCGTTTTCTCGAATGAGCCCGCTTCCGGAGGGAAGGCAGGAGGGAAGGTAGGAGGCAAGGAAGGAGGGAAGGCAGGAGGAAAGGAAGGAGGGAAGGCAGGAGGGAAGGCAGGAGGGAAGGTAGGAGGCAAGGAAGGAGGGAAGGCAGGAGGAAAGGAAGGAGGGAAGGCAGGAGGGAAGGCAGGAGGGAAGGTAGGAGGCAAGGCAGGAGGCAAGGAAGGAGGGAAGGCAGAAGGAAAGGAAGGAGGGAAGGCAGGAGGGAAGGCATGAGGAAAGGAAGGAGGGAAGGCAGGAGGGAAGACAGGAGGCAAGGCAGGGAGGAAGGCAGGAGGGAAGAAGGAAACACGAATCCCCCAGGGCAGCATTTACTCGGCCGGCAGATTAAACAGGAAACGCGGCCGTGCTTGTTAGCGGAGCGCATAGGTCGACAATACTATAGCAAGATGTACGCGGGTGGCACTGTATGCTGCAGTAAAGATATACTAACAAACCTTTCATTCCTTATTGACGTAAATAAGCGTGGAGGAATGGCAGACGAGGGGACGAAGCTGGTAACGATGCAGCAGGAGATGCGGAATGATAGCATCGCATAGCAACGTAACGTACGTCTGAGTCCCTATAGCAACCATCCTTCTAGATACGAACATTTCCCACCACAGTCACGTTAAATAAAAAACAATTAAGACGTGTTCTACTGTTACTCGCAACTTCCTGGGAGATTGCATCACTCCCGGCATATACAGCTGCAGTCCGTTTACTTAATTAATTAAAAAAATAAATTAAAAAGTATAATAAATTAAAATCTAAATTAATTTACTAACCCCTGTAGGCGAGCCCGGGGGCGTGGTGACAGTGTATGCTAGCGCGTGATTATGAGGTGAATCTATAATCATGCAGCTATACATACGTAACGCGCCTGCAGCTATGTGCAACGAGAGGGAGCTGATAGACTTACCTGACCGCCGTCGGCGACGTCGGCAATCTTCTCACCTGTAGATGGGTTGATTGTCGGCAAGGTGCGTCCGTCGGTTGCCGCGTGCCACTCATTGTTAATGAAGATCTACAGACATAGATCGATAAACAGAACTTACAGACATAGATCGATAAACAGAACTTACAGATATAGATCGATAAACAGAACTTACAGATATAGATCAATATACAGAACTTACAGATATAGATCGATATACAAAACTTACAGATATAGATCAATATACAGAACTTACATATATACATCGATTACATACACAACACTATTGGAAATACTTTTGAATTCTTGGAAATGAGAATTTATGCTAAAGTCTCGCAATTTTATGGTAAATGTGGCACCAAAGCTTAAAAATCTGCTAAAGATTAAGTAATTTAGCTATAGATTGGCGCCCATTTACTTCTGCTGCTACAGATATTTAAGTTTTAGTGTAAAGTTGGAGACTTCGATTGCACAACGTGTAAATACTCTTTACAAAAATTAGAGTGAACATAATAAATATAGACAACTTGCAGAATTTTGTTCAAAAGAAGCTTCTTTATTTACAATTTGTTGCTGTCGGGTGAAATACAAGGTCAGGTGAATGTTTTTCATGCCAAGAAAATAGAGTTATAAATCAAATAATGCATTTTACACCAGACTACTCCAACAAAACCATAGATTCTGCGTAGTTCTGGCACAAAGTGAAATTCTGAAACAATGCATGCCCCAAATACACTCCATGTACTATTAAGCAAGCAAGAAGTGGCCAGCCTATGATAACACTGCTATAATATAGTCAACAAAAGCGTGAACATTGCAAACTATAACGTTTTATGAGGGGTCCTATATAGCAGCCCTGATAACAGCGGGCAACTGCTAACTTCCTGCTAAAACTCTCCATATGCAGACCACCAACCGATTTTCATAAGGGGTGCTATGTAGCAGCCCTGATAACAGCGGGCAACTGCTAACTTCCTGCTAAAACTCTCCATATGCAGACCACCAACCGATTTTTATGAGGGGTGCTATATAGCAGCCCTGATAACAGTGGGTGACTGCTAACTTCCTGCTAAAACTCCCCGTATGCAGACCACCAACCGGTTTTTATGAGGGGTGCTATATAGCAGCCCTGATAGCAGCGCACGACTGCTAACTTCTTGCTAAAACTCCCCGTATGCAGACCAACAACCGATTTTTATGAGGGGTGCTATATAGCAGCCTCGATAACAGCGCGCAACTGCTATAACTCCTTCCTAAAACTCCCCGTATGCAGACCAACAACCGGTTTTTATGAAGGGTGCTATATAGCAGCCCTGATAACAGCGGGCGACTGCTAACTTCCTGCTAAAACTCTCCGTATGCAGACCACCAACCGGTTTTTATGAGGTGTGCTATATAGCAGCTCTCGTAACAATGACTGCCAAGTCAACACAGACTATTTCCTTGCATCATGCAGTTACAAGATCAACGTTAAAAATGATTGAATACGCCCTACCGATGTAGTAAAATTAATATTCTGCTCAAAGTTTAAATCACAGCTTATCTGAACACAAGAGACAACTGACAATACACTGAGACAAATATACATTTACTAAGAATTGTTACTGGGACCTTTATATTCCAAAAAATTTCAACAAGTTGAGAACACGATTAATTAGCAATAATAATAAAGTTTTAATATAAACACTGGAGATGCAATGCATGATTAACTAGTGTAACTTTTATAAAACAGAGACATTTCTATGTGCAAATGTTTAAAAGGGACTAGTTGTACGTACAATGCGCAACACACACACATCCACAATTACAAATGTTCTCTCAGGTTATCTTCATTTGCGTATCTTTTTTCAATTTCTGCCCTGTGTTTGTTTTATTTAACCATTTAAAAACTACTTAATTTTAAAAGCATATTTGTTGATTATCGCAAGAATATTGTGTACAATAGGTTGCTGAACTTGCTAGAATTAAGTGGCAAAAGTGAGAACTAAAACGTAATTTACAGTACGTACTTTAAAAGCACATATCTCATACATCTTCGTACTGCATATTTTTCTTACAGTTGATGGCAAAGATGTGCACGCACACACACGCACACAAATGTATAATATACTATAAACATACTTCTTTGAATACGTTGAGTTCAACCAGCAAGAATGCCATACTGATCACATATTTGTTTCTGTTTTCACGTGATGTATGTCCATCTGTATGTAGAGTCTATCTCTCAGTTTGTCCTTATTGGTGACAAGTACTTCCAGAATCAGGTTTATTGTCAGGTTCGAGTCATGTGGATACTGGTTGACATCGATGAAGACATGGGGCCTAATACTTCCTTTAGTGCTTGGGTAGAACAGGCATCCTTTGTTTGTAAAAACGAAATACATAGTATTATTATCTAGTAATAAAATAGTAATACAAGGTTACGTTTGTAGCTACGTATGATCTGTATGAAACTCTTAAGTCTTGTCTATACGAAGTTTTCTTATCCCGGGTTAAGAACAGTCTCGGGTTAGCTTAACCCTAGTTCTGAAATGCGCAGCGTCTATACGAGTACCATCCGCTCAATGCTTGAGCAGTTCTGGCACGTAAGTATTGCATTGTATGTACGCATCGATGTAAATACGCATTCACTATTGCCGAATATCGCAGGGTTAAGGAACTATGCACTATCTCATGTTAACACCGTATATACGACGCTATCTTGAGACAGATCTGAACTCGGGTTAGCTTAGCCCCTCTCACATCACGAGGTTAAGCTAACCCGGGTTAAGGCTTTACCCTGGTTCTCTTAACCCCAGATAAGCACGCGTGTAAATGCTTATACCGCGATAAAAATCTTTGTATAGACGAGACTTTACGTCATCTACATGAAGAAATTGTATTGGCTTAAGCGTCTTATTACATCGTTTACACGATAAAATTTGTCTCGGCTTAAGCATTTTATTACTTCGTCTATATGAGGAAATTTGTCTCGGCTTAAGCATCTATACGAGGTTTTAACTCGGGTTAAACTAACCCGGATTAAGCTTTAATCTGGGTTAGCTTAACCCCGCTCCATGAGGGGGTTAAGCTAACCCGGGTTAAGCTTAATCCGAGTTAAGACTCGTGTACACGTGCGCGAAATCGTTAACTCAAGTTAAGCGGTAGTCATATACCGCAGTCAACACCGCCTTCCGCTAGCTGCCGTTAGCTTAACTCGGGTCAAGACAAACTCCGTGTAGACGAGGCTTCTATATTTCGTACCTGTCAAATGTGTGACCAGTTTGTACAAAGTTCTGGTGACTTTATCATCTTGTGCAAAGTGTGGAATGTCCGTTTTTGATTGGTCCATTCCATTAATAATTAGACAGTTATGATCTGAATAATTTTGCCTTGCGCTGCTCCTTGCTCGATGATAGTATTTTCTCATCCTGCTAAAACAAATTTTTACTAGGTTTATTGTTGGAATACATTATGCACATATACCGATCACTAGATGCTCACTTAGAATTATTTTTTGCAGAATAATGCAATTGTATGCTGTACGTGTGTCACTGTTGCATATCAACAGACATTTACAATAGCAAATGGCCAGCGCGTATAACGAGTTCTTTTGTTGTGAAATAAGGTTGGTATCTAAACGTTACTGCTGCGTTCCGCTGCTGCAGCCTTAAACTTGACGTACGACGTCTATATGCGTGGATACGCTATTTTTAAACATGCGTTCACGCAATACAAATAATATTAGGGCAAGCCAGTTGAGGCTACCAGCCAAAATTGAAACTAGGTAGCAATTAAGCTTAGAGATAGTAAATGAATACACCTATCGGGGATTAAGTTATCCAATAACCTAGAGAACTGTGTTTTCTATAGCTACTCATGTAATGAAATAAACGTACCATAAATATCATATAACACATCATGTTATATGATATCTATGTAAACGTACACTGGGGCGTACGTTACGCCAGATATGCTGGCAGGTTTCCGTTTTGTACGCCGTACAGACTGCAAATTTGATATTGTATTAAACTAGCGCGCGCCAAATTTTTGCAGTGTGTATACACGCTATTCCGCTCTCTATGCAGTCTGTACGCTACGAGTTGGCGCGCGCCAGTTTAATACAATATCTAATTTTGCAGTCAGGTGATATAGGTAGTGTTTCTTAATTGCCAATGACTCAGTTCTACATGTGAGATTGAGAAGGTCCAACAGTGTTAGTGCAGCAGTAAAGATACTATTTACTGTTTGGTTCCATTGCTGGTCACGGCAAGTGTCCAAACTGTAGATTAATCACATTAAATACCGTAACACAAAGCTATGAACATACCATAAACTTTGACCATAATTTGCTATCAGCTTTAGATCAGCTTAGAAAAACTACAAAGTTTTGATTACCTTACCAATCTTATACTGGGGAAATTCTTTTTTCCATATCTCTATCAGATATTCATATAAGATGTGGTCCCTGATATTCTTCTGTTTTATCTCATCTTTGTACTTCTTCTACAAGCTCAGTTTTGTATAGCAGTAGGGCAGATAAATAGTATCATCATTTGGCATGTAATCACCCATCCTTTTAAAAGTTTCTGCCATCCACGCCTTTGCTTCTGTTGTTTTCCTTCTGCATTTCCCTTGTGTATTTATGCGCATTCTTATATGCACCAGTAACAGTAATAGCTAACCAGTAAATAATCATGCAGTTCTAAATCGATTGTTTGACGGTCAGTTTAGCTCCTGCTCTTTATTCTTGTTGTTTGTGCACAGCGGTGTATTCACGTAGTTTTGTGTAGCATCTGCACAGGCACAATCTATTCAGTCAAGTTTTGAAAGCATTGTTTAATCAGCGATCATCACCAGGCTGCTGAGGCAGCTGATTCGGGTCATCCCGCAACTGCAACAAGTACTAGTGTAACGGGATTGCCCTAGCGGTGCACTACAGGATTGCCGTTTCCACTATTCGCAAAAGTTAGATGTGCTTTGTGTTTCTAAGTGGGTTGAATAGATCAAAACAATAACTGCCTTAATCGTTTCTTTTGAGACAAGCAAATTATCAAACAACATCGTCAATCCTCTGTAGTTCTTTGCGGGATGAAAGATGTACAATGGTT